GACGAGACGAGAGTACGAGAGAGAGAGAGAGAGAGAGAGAGAGAGAGAGAGAGAGAGAGAGAGCATGTAAAATACAATGATGGGGTGGAAGCATGCATGTGCCACATGGCACTCATGCATGAAGAGAGAGAGAGCAAGGATGGAAAACATAATGATGGGGTGGAAGTATGCATGTGCCACATGGTACTCATGCATGAAGAGAGAGAGAGCAAGTATGAGAGAGAAGAAGAAGCACCCCTAGATCACCAAACACCACTCATGCTCAGCAGCGCGCTCAATCGTTTGCACTCTCAAAGCGCATCTGTCCACCCGTGCTAGCCAGCGTGCTCACCCGTTCGCGCTCTCAATGCGTGTCTGTCCACCCGCGCTCATCAGCGCGCTCATCCATCTGCACTCGCAGTAGCGCACTTATCCATTCGTGCGTAACAGTGCACATAACCGCCAGCACGCTTGACCATCCGCCCTCTCCATGCACGTCAGTCCACTCGCGCCATCGACTCGCCAGCACACAACAATTACCCCGAAAAAGTCTCGATCCTTACACACGAATTATTCTATCCAAAATATTGAAGCATAAAGCAGTTATTTATTTCCTATGTACTCCTAAAACCACAAGCGTTTGCAAAATGTTCAATACCATACAAGTTAACACACAAGAAGATCTACCCTTTCTTAAGATATTGCTATATCTCTCACAAATATGTACTGAAAACTATCTAAGAGTATCAAAGTTGACACACAATACAATATAATGAAAAATCTGCTCAACATTCAAAACAAAGCAATACATCAACAATCTATGCAAATGTGCTACCTCTCAATCACAGTTATGTAAAATTTCTCACAAGCACAAAATTTCATCATAGACACTAAAAAAAAAAAATTAACTCAATACATCCTCATGTATAAATTTTTAGTTCTAAAAAAGACCCTAAATTTCTAGTTCTTAAAACCTAAAATTTCTAAATTCTTATACAAACAATATCGCCCTACAAATTAACTCAAATTAATGAGAAAGAACTAGTGTGCTTGAGTATAAACCCTAAATCAAAATCTTGTACTACTTAAATTTCTAAAATCAACCCACAAATCATTGTATACATACCTTTACTATAGATCAGAAATCTACAAAATGCCTTCAAAATATGAGAAATGCCATCAAAGCCCTGTGATGATACTTGAGCTTCTACTATAATCCAAAGTTAGGGTTAGGTTTTTTGTGAAAGAGTGCTTTTTTGATATGTGCAAAGGAGTAGCTTTGAGACTCACATACACATAGCAGAGTATGGGACGCAGAGAAGAGAACATAAGTGTTTAAATTGATGGGTCCACTTTCGGTTTTTCAAGAATTGAAATGAGGCACACTTCGATTTTTGAAAAACCGAAATTCCAAAAATTTCGGTTCTTCAAAAATCGAAATAGCGTAAAAACATATTTTTTTTAAAAAAAATCGTTATGAAGTGAAAAAAACGGACATGCGAGTAATAATAGAAACTATTTGGTATTTTGGTAATAACACAAACTATAACGAATATTTATGTAATTTTTCCTAAAAAATATTACTAAGGAAAATTGTTTCATGTGGGCTAGACCGCATTTCTACAATATGCGGTCCAAAGGTATAAAGCATTCATCCTAAAGATGGATGCAAATAGGTGGTCCATCTAATGACAATTGTAACTAATGGTCCAAATGTTTTTTTAATATAATTATTATTTTTAGTTTTCAATTTTTTTTTCCTGATATTCATGATCTTCATGTTAAACACTATATATTCTCTAAAAACTAGGATCAAATTATATTTAACAATATATTTATTGCCAAGCCGTAATTCTACAATATAAAAGTTGGCCACATACAAACCGTGTTCTATTATTAAATATAATAAATAAGATAAAATTTTTCTTATTATAAGTTTCTTATAAATAAATGGGATTCTATACAATGAGACTATTTACCTTTATTACAAGGTGGTCGCAATTTCTTACAACTATTTGATGTGAATTTGCTAGCTTGGATATGTCACAAAGTTTAAAAAATATTATTTTAAATTTGAGCTTGGTCAATAGAATAATTACGACCATAAAATTTCACATCCAATGGTCAAAATTAATGAGACGACATGTAAATAGTCTCATTCTATACTTTTCCGAAATAAATAACATCCTCCGCGGCGTTCCTCGCCATCGTCGGCCCCACAACACATAAAAAAATATTTATTACGGTCCTCCACACCCCACCCCCTCTCTCTCTCTCGATCGAAATTGAATCCCTCGCCAAATCACCATCCCTCCGCTCTCTTGTTTGTTCCCCATTTCATTCAATATTTCGAATTCTCCTGTTTCCCCACCGTTCCCTCCTCCACCATCATCTCTTTGTTCCACCCCAAACAACGCCTCTCTGCGACGAAACAGATTTGAGTTCACCCAGCTGTGCATTTTTCATGTTCCATGAGGTCCCTCTCCTTTTCCCATTCTCGAATTAGGGTTTCCAATCTTCTGCAAACTCTGAATCCGCATTGTTCATTTCTCTCTGGCTCAGAATCCGCTGCATTTCGGGGATTACAATTCCTACTTCTTGGTTAAATCCGTGTTCGAAAAATTCTGGAGTCTTTACCATTACTGCTGTTATCTTTTCAGAGGATTACTGGAATCTTGGCGGCTTCAAGAATGTTGCTTCTTCAGCATCAAAAGAATGGCTCTCGATTTAGGCTCCAAGAATTCTAAGATCTCAACAATGTTTTGCCATCTTTAATGGTGGGTGGACTCTTTTCGGACTCTAGGCCTCCGGTTCCGAGACAAGATCAAGAAGGAGCCTGTTATTGATTCACTTCTTTTTGCCTAGCATTTTGAGTACCTTAGGTCCATTTTCTTATTCAAATTCAGTTTCCTCTCTCTCTCTCTCTCTCATATGTTTCCTGCAACTGCTGTGTTTTGGGACTCTGGGCAGGGAAATGAACGTTGTGGGGAGAGTTGGGAGCATTGTGCGCCAGGGAATCTACACTTTTGCTGCCCCAATCCAACCCTTTGGGGGTGCAGTGGACATTATAGTTGTGGAGAGAGAGGATGGCACCTACAGGAGTACCCCGTGGTACGTTCGTTTCGGCAAGTTTCAGGGCGTCCTCAAGGGCGCTGAGAAGATTGTGCATTTCTTGGTTAATGATGTGGAGGCTGGGTTTCATATGTATTTAGACAGCACTGGAGAGGCATATTTTGTTAGAGAGGTTGAGGCCCATGAAGATTATCAAGCTTCTACATCCATGGATGGGGAAGACCAAACACCGATTGAGAAAACCAGTGGTTCAGAAGATGCTGGTGTTTGTGATACTCCTTGTTTGAATGGCTTGCCAGGGGATGATGATGCAGAATTTCCCCAGGATAGATACCTGGAAATGAGTGGCAATGGATACCCAACAAAGGTTCAGGCATCTGAGTCAATGAGTTCTTCCTTTTCAGTGGAATACATGGACAGTTTTCAATATGATAGTCAAGCCCAGGCGGATGATGCTGCGAATTCTGAGCCTTCGGATTCAGAAGAGGTGGTGTTAATGAGCGGAGATGGTCGTGTCATGACTGCACCTATCACTTCTAGCGATTACTCAGACAGCGTGTCTATAGAGTCTCCCCAGTTTTGCCTGGTATCAGATGAAGAAGTTCAGATGGAATATGCACAGGTTAACAGCTTCAATAGATACAATGCAGATTTAGGCTCAGGAAATGGTGAAGAAGCTTCCAATTCCTTGACTTCTAAAAGAGAATTATCGCAGAGAACTGCTTCAGCTGATTCAACCACTTTGGGAATAATCTTTGGCAGTTTGTCCGAGGAAGAGGGTTCTCGGGACGTCCATGGTGATGGTTTTCCCAGTTCTTCAACAAAAGTCTGGGGGGCCCCTGAAGAAACCCAAGAGCTGGATCTTGAGGAGACTCAAAATTGTGATGATACAGCTCCTTGTATTGAATATGACAGATTTGGGAATCCTGGTGATGGGGATCTCCTTTCGGGTTTAAATAAGGAAGACATCTTTAAGAGCTGCCTCACGCTACCTGAATTAGCTTTACACACCAATGAAGAGGAGATGGAATTTCAAAGTCCTGGCAATCAGAATAAAGAGGTGGCAGCAACCATTAAAGATGATCGTCCTATATTGGAGAATGACAACCGTGAAATTCTACTCTCAGCTTCCGATTCACAATGCATTGATGATGGGGCCACTGCTGTGAATGTGGAAGTAGAAGTCTCCTCAAAGAAAGTAACAATCTGTGAAAGAGCAAATTTGGAGGTATCGTCGGTTTCCATGGATGGGGATGTTACTAAGGAGGAAGGGCTTACCATGGTTTCAAAACCTCAAGAAGTAGAGGGTGGTAGTGGAGGAGAATGCGGTGACAAACTAGAGCCTCTGCAAGCAGAAGCTGAGAGCTCCAGTACAGGTATGAGGTTTTCAACCTGCATGGGTAAGGATCTCCACACATTTATGCCACTAGATATAAGAGGTTTTTTCCTTTCGATTTCAAAATTAAAGTGAATCAAATTTTCTGGTGCTCTGCATCCTTTGTTATGTTTGGGATATTGTTCTATGTAATTGAACAGTTTTTTTGTGTCCTCAAACTTTTTCTTTATCAGGTGTTGATGAATCTTCTAAACTGAGGCAATGATGGTTTGCAGGTTTTGAAATTTCCCTTTGTGGACACTTACTTCATGCCGGAATGGGAATCAGTTCTGCTGCTCAAGCTTTTGATGTTCACAGGGTTACAGAGGAGCAATTCAGGCTCTCAGGAGCTTCTTTCGTCAAGAATGAAAATCTTGTAATCAGGGTAAACGGGAGATATCTACCATGGGATAAAGCTGCCCCAATTATTCTTGGAATGGTTGCATTTGGTTTAGAGTTCTCAGAGGAGCCGACGGATGCGATATCTGTTAAAGAAAATGAGGCGCCAAGTATGAAAGGAGACACTCCTCGGGCCTCTTCTGTTCCTTCAGGACGTAGATGGAGTCTATGGTCATTTTCTTTTAGAAGAGCAAAGTCTCTAGAGCAGGTTACTAGCCCTTCCACTGAAGACGCATCAGTTCCGGATGCTGAGTCTTCTCTGCACAGTACTCATGAGGAACAAATTTTAATGCCTAATGTCGACCAAGTCACTCCTCATAAACAAATTCTGCGAACCAATACCCCAACTTCAGAACAGATTGCATCCCTGAATCTCAAAGAGGGTCAAAATCGTATCACCTTCAGCTTTTCTACAAGGGTTCTTGGAAAGCAACAGGTCTGATATCTTCCCACTCATGCTATTGTTGAACTTAATAGATATTTAATGTGATGGGAATAATTTTAAAGCTGACCTTTCTGAAAGAATTTGAAATTTTACTGTTCTCCCTGCTGGATATATTTCCTTCTACAGGTTGATGCACATATTTTCTTGTGGAAGTGGAATGCAAGAATTGTCATATCTGATGTAGATGGAACAATCACCAGGTAATTGCTGGCTTATTTTTTTTTCTTTTTTTGTTTGTATGATCAAGACTTTATGGCTGTGCCCTACCTATGTGGAGAAAAAGGTTACAACTGACAATAAAGAAATACTTTCTGATTCATTAGATATAAAAAAAGATGTAGTTTAGATTCTTTTGAGGATGATTATCTTGCGTGCAGCACAAGGAATGATCATAACAATTTTTGGTAATGCTAGATTCTCCTTTCAATTTTTACCCAAAGAGATTCTCCTTTCAATTTTTACCCAAAGAGATTCTCCTTTCAATTCCCTCAGGGACTTTGGAACTAAGTCCACTGAATCATCATGTGTCCCCCATGTTTATGCTCATGCTCGCAATAATGATCTGATGTTTGACCAAGAAGTGAATCGTTATCACCATATATGGAGCACCATAGTATCACTAGAGGTTGTGATCAAGATACTAATAGAAAAAATATTAGGGTTTGCAAGGTCCAAAACCCCTGGAACAAAATTTCTGCATATAAATATTTTATAGAAGGGACTTGTGGAAAAAGGCACTAACAACAGTAAACAATCAAAGTTCATTTTCAACTCCCCATTCCCAAGACTGCTTTTAAATGTGACTTTAAACTCTAAAACCCCTAAAAGTGCTGATGCAATCCTATTTTTTGTGCCATCCATCCCCTTCTAGTGTCTACCATCCATTCATATAACAATTCTACTAATTAAAGTTCTTTAAACATACCAATAATGAAAACAAAATAGTAGCCAAAAGAGCTGTAAAATGGGGCTTTCCCAAAACCCATACCCCTGCCCAAAAATAAACTTAAGCATGTAGATGTCTCTTGATCCCCTCAAATCTAGTCCTCATCTTTAGTCATCTTGTGCTTGAATGGGTTTGTTGGATGCTTGGCGTAGTATACAGCGACCTTCAAAAACTTGAGATGTACAAATTATCTATCAAGTTGGTCTTAAGATATCTGGAGGAAAAAGATGTGGAAATATGTGGACTCCATGGTTGGGAAGCTTTGGTTGTAATATGGATTTGAGCTTCCGAATAATATCATATGTGAAAGCCCTCATATGGAGAATGAGAAAGAGGTAGAAGAATAGTGATGGCTTCAATGCTTTAGCAGAAGTTGTGACAAGGTGGGCCCACCCTCTAGGCAATGCATGAAAAAGGGGGACATACCCTATAGAAGATGTACGAGGGAAAAGGGTGAACCCATGTCTTTCCCCATTAAATTAGGGTTACGAATTTGATATTTAGTTGGTTTTTACCTTTTTTTATCTATATTTCGATGTTTAAAAAAAATGGATCAGTGACCTGGATCAGCCACCCCAAAAACCATGTCGGATGGGTGGATCGGCGATTTGGATCGGAGAATCTGCCGAATGGGCTGGTCTCAGCCAAAAATATTTCAAAAAATCATTGTAATTTCTCAAAAATCTAGCTTTTTAGGTTTCTAAAAAAAATAGGGGAAATTGTATTATGGTTGTTCATTATTGTATCAAAAGTATGTAAATATGGAGAATCTGTATTATGTTGAGTGTTTGTTGTCTATTAAGTTCATTTTGTAGTCAAAATGAAATTTAAAATGCAACTCATAACAATAAAATGAATCTTTCTAACTCAATTTATTTATTTATTTTGTTAACAGTTTTGATTTAAAAAAAACATTATGGAACAAATTTAGTGGACTAGGCTGTTGGTAGAGAGATATAGAGAGAGAGAAAGAGAAATTTAGTGGAATTGATTGTTTGTATAGAGAGATGGATGCCAAGGAGAGATAGAGAGATGCCAAGAGGGGAGAGAGAGAGGTGGACTAGGCTCTTGTGATATGAACTTACTTCATTCTAGTTTTGTAATCGAAAGATTAGATCTTTAGGAAAGCCTAAGGTTGCTCTGATTTGAAGCCAAGAAAGAGAGCATGTATGCTTATGACCAATATATATGTGTTTGAGAACAATGTTTTAAAATGCAGGATGCAGCTGAAAGCGATGGGGGGGGGGTCGATGTGGCGATGTGGCTCGATGCTGGTGCATCGCGGCTATGCGGTCGATAAATATAAAAAAATTCTAAAAAATCTTAAAAAGTAGATTAATACATAGAAAAAAATATGGAGGTGATATATGTGATAGTAGGTATTTAGTTTATTCATTAACTCCAACAGTATTACTTGTCGGAGATTATGTATCTACCATCCCCTGATAGAAACTAGAAACTTGAAACTAACTTCATAAAATATTCAACAATCAACAACCATAAGCACAAATTTGCAGCTACAAACTTTAAAGTTACAAAATACTACAAATTAAAAGTCCATGAAGATTAAAGAGTTTTAAAGTCAAGCTCAAGAAGAGTCAATACAATTTGTCGATTTCTTCACGGCCTTTGAAACCCTCGATTTATTGTCACGAGTTTGCTTAAACTTCCTGAAATCAACACCCAAAAGGTACAAATCAATAACCAAGTTCAACAAATTCACAAATCGAAAAACTTCAACGAAAAAACTTTCCGCCCAAATTTTTATTTTGATCCAATCGATCACAAAAAAACCACGAATGTGACTGAAAATTGTTGATTGGGGGGTTTAATACCCCCCAAACCCTTTCCTCCAAATATCGAAGGTCAGAAAGACCATTCTACCCATCCCCGCGGGGTATTATTTTGAAAAACAATTGCAGAAAATTATTCGGCCTGATGTGGTGTATGCGCTATGCGACTCTGATGCGGCGTATCTCTCCAAACCGCATGTGGTCAATTTTGATGCGGTGCCCAGCGCATAGCGCCTGATGCGGCCGCATTTTAAAACATTGTTTGAGAATAAATACTTAGGTCTTATTTAGTTGGTTGTGTGAGGCCATATTGGGATGACTGGTTCCTTGTCTTTGGGGAGTATTCCTCTCAAACAGGGGCTCCTTTTTCCTTTCACATCCCATGCTCTCACCTACCTTTCATCATTCTTTCATCTCTAGTCCAACATTCCCCATCATCCTCCCCCACCCACCCCAAAGCCTTCTTTTTTCTTCTCCTTCTTTAGTTTTTCAACCCCTAGCCCCACTCATCTTCCTTTCTCTCCCATCTCATCATCAATTTAGAACCTTAATGATATTCATCAACCTCATTGCTTATCTTCCTAGCCTACACATCCTACCCCATTCCTGCATACTGATCCTGTGTCATCACACCTTAAAGGCCTGTTTGGATGTGCAAGACACTCCCTATAGGCCCTAATTCAGTTATCCAACTTGCTTATATGTTGTTTGTGTGTCAACAAGGACCTTTTAGATAAGCTCTTACTGTGTTTCCCATGTAAACCTATACAACCACAAGAAGGTATTATTTTTATACTAAATAACAACACTTTTATTTTCAAAATTATTAAATATCAAACACAATGGGTACATAATGATAGAAGGAACCCTTTGTATAAATGATGGGTAGAGGTCATAGATACGTTCATAGGATTAAGATATCAGAAGTAAAAGAAGTTTTAAAGAGGATGAAGATAAGAAAGACTTTAGGACCAAATGTTATTCCGATAGAGGTTTGGAAGTGCATGGGGAAGATTGGCATTGACTGGCTGACCAAGCTGTTCAACAAGGTTTTGAGAACAAAAAAAATGGCAAACGAATGGAGGAATAGTACTAATGGTACCTATTTACAAGAACAACAGAGATATGCATAATTGTGGACTATCGAGGAATCAAATTTATGAGCCACACTATGAAGTTGTGGGAGAGAGTAATTGAGCAACGACTAAGGCATGAAACGAGTGCATCAGAAAACCAATTTAGTTTTATGCTAGGGAGGTTAATATCAGAGGCTATTTTCCTACTTAAGCAACTGATTGAGAAGTTTAAGACTAAGGGAATGACCTCCATATGGTCTTTATTGATCTAAAGAAAGCTTATGATAAAATACCCAAAGATTTGTTTTAGTGGGTGTTGGAAAAGAAAGAAGTTTCAAGACATGACATCGACTTGGTGAGAGATATGTACGAGAGAGTGCTAACTAGTGTACGAATAATTAGTGGAAATACGAGTGGGTTTTTAATGACAATAGGTCTACATTAGGGGTCGGCATTGAGTCCATACCTCTGGGTCTTAGTTATTGACGACTTAACTAGGCACTTTCAAGATGAGGTACCATGGTGCATGTTGTTTGTGAATGATATAGTTTTGATCGATGAGACCCGAAATGATGTCAACATAAAGTTAGAACTTAGGAGGTATGCTTTAGAATCTAAAGGTTTTAAAATTAGCCGGACTAAGACAAAAGATATGTGATACAAATTTAGTAATAATAGGAGTAGAGATGAGGAAGTAGTCAAGATTGATGGCCAAGAAATACCAAAAGAGTGCGCTTTGATATCTTGGGTCGATAATCCAAAAAAATGGAGAGATTGAGGAAGGTGTTGTACATATAATTAGAGCTGGGTGGGCGAAGTGGAGATGTGCAACTGGAGTTTTATTTGATTGCCGCATACCAATGAAGCTGAAGGGCAAGTTCTATAGGACTACTGTGAGATCAACTTTACTTTATGGGATGAAATATTGGGTGGTTAAGAAACAACATACCCATTAAATGACATAGATGAGATAAGGATGTTGAGATGGATGAGTGGAAAGTTGAGGGAGAGAGTAATTGAGCAACGACTAAGGCATGAAATAAGTGCATCAGAAAACCAATTCAGTTTTATGTCAGGGAGTTTAATATCTGAGGCTATTTTCCTACTTAAGCAACTGATTGAGAAGTTTAAGACGAAGGGAATGACCTCCACATGGTCTTTATTGATCTAGAGAAAGCTTATTATAGAGTACCCAAAGATTTGATTTGGTGGGTGTTGGAAAAGAAAGAAGTCTTAAGACATTACATCGACTTGGTGAGAGATATGTATGAGAGAGTATTAACTAGTGTATGAACAATTAGTGGAAATACGAGTGGATTTTCAGTGGCAATAGGTCTACATCAAGGATCAACATTGAGTCCATACCTCAGTGTCTTAGTTATTGACGACTTAACTAGGCACTTTCAAGATGAGGTACCATGGTGCATGGTGTTCATGGATGATATAATTTTGATCGATGAGACTCGAAATGACGTCAAGACAAAGTTAGAACTTAGGTGGTGTGCTCTAGAATCTAAAGGTTTTAAAATTAGCCAGACTAAGACAAAATATATATAATGTAAATTTAGTAATAATAGGAGTATAGATGAGGAAGTAGTCAAGATTAACGACCAAAAAATACAAAAAAGAATGCACTTTTGATATCTTGGGTCGATAATCTAGGAAAATAGAGAGATTGAGGAAGATGTCGGACGTATATAATTAGAGCTAGGTGGGCGAAGTGGAGATGTGGAACTGAAGTTTTATTTGATTGCCGCATACCAATGAAGCTGAAGGGCAAGGTCTATAGGACAACTGTGAGACCAGCTTTACTTTATGGGACGAAATGTTGGACGGTCAAGAAACAACATACCCTTTAAATGGCGTGGCTGAGATAAGGATGTTGAGATGGATGAGTGGAAAGACAAGAATCTAAATGAACACATTCGAGAGAATTTAACTATGACACCAATAGGTGATAAGATGAGAGCAAGTAGACTTAGGTGGGCTGGCCATATGTGGCACATGCCCAATACAATACCTGTTAGGAGGTGTGAGTTAGTTAAAATGGAAAGCTCAAAAAGACCAAGGGGTAGGCCCAAAAGAACATGGTTGGAAGTAGTGAGGAAAGATATGAGAACTTAAGGCCTCACTGAGTGTATGATCCTTAATATAGTAGAATGACGAACCCAAATTCGTGTAGGCGACCCCAATTAGTTGGGAAAAGGCTTCGATGATGATGATGAAACAACAACACTATATTTTTTGGAGGAGGCAAAAAAAAAGGAACCTTTTGCTGAACAAAAGAAAAGTTCTCTCTTTCTCTCTCACCCTTTATCTCTCACTAACTTTCATGGCTTGGAGAGAAATAATGGTTGAGGGGAGAGAATGGGAAATCAGCAGTAATGGGTAGTGTGAGAATCGGATGAGAGAGAAACATCTGCCGACATAATGCCTTCTTCTCCATTGAAGAAGCCTTCTCGTTCAGATTCTCGACCTCGCCTTTGCCTTCTCATATAGGAGGAAACCATAACATTGGTGAGGTTTCACAGCAACTAGAAAGTCTATCTTATCTCTCTAACTTTGTTCTCTTTTTAAAACTAGCTGATTTGAGGCAGGATATGCAAAGCCGCACAATGCAGCTTGCTTTAGTTGCTGTAAACTTTGTATTTCGTTGAAGAGAGAGCTCTGCAATAGCTTTCTCTCTCAAAACCTCTTAAAGTGAGAGCCAATATCTCATGGTAATCTACTCTCACTCTATGTAAAGCCCTTGGTAACAAACTGGTTTTGTGCCTATCAATGGTATCATTTGGATGAATTTTAAACTTATGCACCATCTACATCCTGTGACCCTTTTCTTTAGGCAAAGGAACAAGATCATAGTTATTGGGAAAGGGAGTGACAAGAGTTCTAGGATTGGGAGCGAGGTAGGCTCGAAGATCTGAGGTTGGAGGAACGATGTTCGTACATGGTCAGGTAAAGGGATCGAGATCCTTGACTTTTAAGGAACGTGTTCCATATTTGCGCAGGAGCAAATTCTTTCCTAAATGGGATCGCTTTCTGCCATGATAAGGATCGAGGTTCCCGAAGTTCACTTATGAATACTATTGTAATTTAGGCGCGAATTCCATTTATGTTTAACCGTTTTCAAATTCAAATACCCAATATTCATGTAAACAAATTCGTGTCATTGAAATTCTCTTTAACATTTTGTTGTCATTGGATGATGATCTCACACATAGTGATAATAGAAATCCAATATGGTGATGTAATATCCAAGTCCTCGATCTCATGTTAATATTGAGAATGGAGGGTGATAAAAACAATTACTTGAATCACTGTAAAAAAATAATCATGTGGGTCCATTGCAAAAATTGAACACCTAGCTACATTGCTCTACCCACAATGCAACCATCCTAATTTTTGGCACCGATCAGTTGGATTGGGCGACTCCTACTCGAATATCAATTGGTGATTAATATAAGTTGTGATAGATTGTTTCCAAAAAGGAAATGTTGCTAAGCGCTCATTTGTGAAGTAAGGAAAAGAAAAGACATTGCCATATATAATTCCCAATAGCTCTCCGTTTTCAAAGTTTGCTAGGGGCTCAAAGACATATACATGAGAGAGACCTCACATTTCCACACATACATGTTGTTCCATAACCCACAAGGCAATCCCATGTGTGGCTCGATTTGGTTTATCAATACTCATGTGATAGAAGTCCTTCGGGAGGTAGACAAAACCTAATGAACTAACTCTAAGGATGTTAAGCGTATTGACATTCCTCAGTAGAACCATAACGTGACTAACTTTTCTGTCTCCTTTCATCTTCTTGCTTTTCTCTCATTGTCCTCTCTTTTGTTTCCTTTCTTTTGAACTAGACATAAATTACGTTTCATGAGGTGCATAAAGTTGTAAATTCTAAAATATGTAGGAAATCATGGCATTCGGAAAGTTTGTAGGTCATAAAAAATTGAAGGTTCACAATCCATTGTATATGAACCAAAAAATGTGTCGGTGAAACTTGCTCCCAAAGTAGAGGATACTCCACAATCCATTGTATATGAATCAAAACATGTGTCAGTGAAACTTGCTCCCAAAGTAGAGGATACTCGATTTCAAGTTGGTGGACTTGCGGTTCTATTTACTCATGGAACCATGATTTTTGGCATAGGGATCTGGATCCTATTAGTTGGGATAGAATTTCCCTATTTCCTGGATCGAGAACCCAAATATCGAGGAATCGCACGAAATCGAGATCTCGTCTCTCGGAGCACGGGATTGAGCTTCCAGAGAGGAAGTGACCCTCTTCTTAGAAGATCCCGATAACTATGAACAAGATCACATGATTTGGGTATTCCGAGCACCTTTTTCCCATCATTCTGGATGATTAACTAACTTTTGAAACGTTTTGGTTTTGAAATATAGTCCAATGACAAAAGAAAAAGTCAATGTTACAAAAATATGGCTGAATAGAAAATAATTTTTTTTTGTTTTTTTTTTTTAAATTGGAGGATGATTTATCCTTTCTCTTTTCACAAAGAGATAGATTAATTAGAATATGAGAGAGACATACGTGGTTCTTGAGCCTATACGTAAGAGTCATCAAGAGAAGACATTTGATCTTGTGGATCTGCATGTTGTTGATGAGTAGGCTATGCTTTTGTCTTGAGTAAATTTGAAGGAGTAGGTGGACCTTTCTATGTGGCAACAAACTTGCTGCATATGGAGCATCAGAGATTGATGAAATGGTATGATCCTTCCAAATGTATCAGAAGATTGGTCGGGAACCTTAGAGAAATAAAACTCTTGTTCAAAGACTATAACATCTCGTGAAATGTACTGCTCTCTTTCTAGGATCAACATTTTTTGGAGGGAGAATATTCTGGGGAACTACACTTGATAGATTTAGATTCATCTTATCTCAAGTAGATTTTGGCAGATGGATACAACATACACACTGCTCCAGCTATGTTAGTGTGGTCAATTTTTCCATGGGTGCAATGTGACGTAAACTAGGGGTGCGTAACCTATTGGTTATAAATGATGCAAAATATACGATGCACAACACAACACCAAATCTTTATTACAAGAGATTGCTTTCCTTGAGCTTACTTCACTTGATGTTTAGGGATATTCCTCTGCTTTCCCTACAATTGTAGTTCCTAAAATAGTTTTCATTATCTTAAGTGTCCTATTTGAGAGCAGTGTGGAATCTATTTCTTTTGGCTATCTTATTCTACCAGTGAATTTCTTTATTTGGCTGAGTAATGTTGGTTGCGAAATGAATACGGATTGTTGTCATGTTATGTCTGGTGTGAGTGGTCCTGTTAGCCTGATGAGGATATGAGCCTGCTGAAAAATTAAAGCTCAGAGAGGTCAATTATGGGCGTCAATAACCTTTTTGTATTAGTTCTAGTGGCAATAGCCTTTTGTATTAATTCTAGTGGAAGTAACATGAGCATTTATGAATATTTTGGCCTTCTAGAGGTGTACTTCAGGAGTTTATTCGCATGTAGGAGGCAATAAAATGTTCTACTGCTTCACTTTATTGTTTATATGCAGATCTGATGTCCTTGGCCAGGTCATGCCATTAGTTGGAAGAGATTGGACACAGTGCGGAGTGGCCCGGCTTTTTTCTGCCATACAGGTGCTTCGTCTATCTTTTGACTTCTCTGTGTTAAAATAATAGTCTTGCTGCTTGTTGGTTGTGGCCTTAGATTTTTGTTATGCCTGGATTGCTTTCAACATGTGAAGTTAAATTTGGCAACATGAGATTTCAGATTATTTCTGGCTTATTATGAAGCCCTACTCTAATTTTGTATTGAGCCATGTTACTGCTTGCCATACTTTGCTTTGATCAATCTGTGTAGTTGTTGAACCTGGTATTGAAGTCTTTGGCATTTCCTTGCTTATCCCTGTTGTGAAAATCTTGGTCATTCTTGGATCATTTGTCCAAATAAAATCTGGTTTATCTATGGATGACAGATCCAAATCCTGCATGGTAGTTACAGATAGTTGCTTTTTATATTGTGGCTATTATGCATTAACCATGTAATGTTCATCAGATAGATGGTTGCATTGGCTGAACTTTAAACCCTTGCAAACTGCTCTTTCTGGACATGTCAGCTTCTATATTGTTTTCTACATTTATATTAGAAGTTCATTAGTGAGTGAATAAATAGACTAATTGTGATATCTCTATAATTCATTCGTCTACATAAGACATGCCTTCTGCTATAAAGTTTGCTCACCTAAAAGGCACATAAGTAGTTCCATTATGACATTTAAATCTGAAAACAAATTCTGCTGGGAAATCCCTATCAGCACAAATAATAAATTCTTTTTTGATAAGCAACAATATTGTAATGTATCGAGGAAATTAAAATTTCTAAAATTGATGTGCATCTGTTTTGGACAGAAATTTTGGGAAATGCTTGCCAATATTTCTAACTGTATCTCATCATTTGATGTCCTGGCTTTTTGAGATGCCTTGTCCCGTAAAAGTAAGTCATATTTGATTCGTTTCTCTTTGGGCTATTTGTTCTTTTCATGATTAATAGATGGAAAATTATTTCATGCGGGCTGGACCGCATTTCTACATATGCGGTCTAGAAAGTGTAAAGCATCCATCTTTAGTAGGTGTTCCATATAAAAACAATGGAAACTAACGATCCAAATGTTTTCTCACTATAATTATTATTTTTATTTTTAAAAATTTATTTATTTTTTTATATTCATGATCTCCATGTTAGAGATTACACGTCCTTAAAAATTAGGTCTTAAAATCCATCTCAAAAAAAGATTTATTAAGAGGCTTGCATTTCTACGTATGCGGGCTTGGCCTCATAGAAACCGGGTCCTTAATGGATTTGCAGCAACTAAAATATAAAGCTTACTTTGCAAGAATAGCTACTTGGCTGAAGGGATGTGCTGTGATCATCACCAACCAAAATATTCTTTGTATATATGTATATATACACACGTGTGTATGTAAATCCATTAGTGAGTGAATAAAATTATTAACGGTATTATGTCTAAAATTCTTGTTGTCTATATAAGACATGCCTTCTGCTATAAATTTTGGGCCCACTTGGGAAAGCAGACAAGTAGTGTCATAATGACATCTATCGGAAAACAAATCCTGCAGGAGAATGGTTATCAACTAATGTTTCTGAGTGCCCGTGCAATTTCTCAGGCACATGTGACCAGACATTTTCTCCGCAACCTTAAGCAGGTATGGGTCTTGATTTCTTAAATTTTCTTCTTATTCTAAAACTTTTTGGATCATATTGAATGATATATTCATAATAAATATTGTGAAATTGTTTTTTATAAGATTTTCTTAGCTCGTTATCCTTGACAGGATGGGAAAGTCTTGCCTAGTGGACCTATGGTCATTTCGCCTGATGGATTATTACCCTCCTTGTATCGGGAAGGTAACATGCACAAGTAATAGCATTAAGTGGACATGTTTAGCAGTAGCTACATGTGCATTTGGCCCTTTTTTTTTAATTTGTTCGAAGTATGATGCTGGTATACATGTGAATTGCTTGCTACCAAACTTCAAGTTTTTTATTCCTGAAACATGATCTTAAAACTTTGATTTGCACGCTTAAATTGATACCAATTGTTTTCTGATTTACGTCTAGAGCATTGTGGATTTATAACAATATTCACGCTTCTCCCTCTAGTCTCTTGCCTCCAATAAAGCCTCCATCATCGTAGAGGAAATGGTCGTCTCTTGGGGCCGCAGAATCTAGAATCCTTCTTTCAGATGACATCAAACAAAGGAGGAAGTAGCCAATTCTTAACCCTCTTGGCTTCTCTTCATTCCAACTTCATAGCTCTATCAGGGAGGGACTCTCTGGTTTGGACCCTCTCCCCTTCGTGCTCATTTTTGGTGGCCTCTTTCTACAAAAAAATAATTCAGCCACCCACTTTCCCACTCAACCCCGTCTCAGTACTTTCAAAGGTTTTGTCCACCATTGCCCCGCCTAAAGTGCAATCATTCAATTGGATTGCTTGCTCCCAAAGAGTTCTCACAGTGGACCAGCTTCAAAGGAAAGGGGTCTCGACCCCCAACAGGTGCACATTGTGTCTTTGTGAAGAGGAATCGAACCCACACTTGTTTATTCACTGTAGCCTAGCCCACGACCTGTGGATTCTTGTAATCCAGCTGTTTGGCCTCTTATGGGTCACTCCACCCTTTGTCCCGGCTCTCATCTGTTTGTCTCTTGTCTCTCACTAGCCGAAGGCTGGAAGAATCCTGTGGTAGGCAGCTATCGCAGCCACTATCTGGGTTATTTGGCTAGAAAGGAACTCCAAGATTTTCCAAGGCCTCAAGAATGAAGTTCCAACACTCTTCCATAAGGTTACTTCCTTAGTAATCTTTTGGGCCTCTTATCATATGGCCTTTAACGGGATATCCGCTAACACTTTCCTCAGCCAATGGGAAAACATCCTTAAGCTCCAACCACACAGGGTATCAAGACCCAACAATTGGCTGCCTCCACTGGAAGGCACCATCACGTTCAACGTCGACGGTTGCTCTCTGGGGAACCCTGACTCAATTGGAGCCGGAGATGTTTATTGAGACCATCGCTGCAATGTTCTGGCCACCTATTCCGAGCATTTAGGCCTTGAAGATTCTCAGTTCACTGAATCCATGGCTTTGCCCTTGGGCTTAAAAGATTCAACTTTTCTTGGGGATCTCAGTTGTTTGTGAAGGGGGATGCCCAAATCATCATTCCGGGGCCTCTGGGAATTCACCACCTCCGTGGTACTTATCCTCAATATTTGCCGAAATTGCTTACACCGGCAAGGATATGGTCGTCTCATGGAAGCATATCTGGAAGACATCAAATGAGTTCGCAGATCTTTTGTCTTGAGGATGGAGTTAGGGCCCAAGTAGATGCACTCGCCTAATCACGACTTTCTAGGTTGCTGTATTGTTCAAACTTTAGTTGCTGGTCCATCTCCCTTTTGCTTTGGATCACCGTGGGTGCATTGTATTTTGATTTGTTTTGTACTTTGCTTGTAATCGGGCGAGTCTATAAGCTCCAATTTTTTGTATAGGGTCATTGTGTACTGACCTATTTTTTCTTCGAGAGGCCCTGTCTGTGGGTGCTCTCGGGTCTCACTCTTGTTCCCTGATGCTCTTCCAGTAATACAACGTTAACTTTACTCAAAAAAAAAAACAATATTCATGCTTTGTATAACTCCCATGTTTGATATTTAATCTTATATTAAAATTCGGAAAATTGTTTTAAGAAATAATATCGCAGTCGATGGTACATGTAGATAATTGATTCAGGGAAATATGGTCACTTCACTGTCATTTTTACTCTTTAAGACTTCTTGAACTGTCTTTCTTTCTGCTTAAAATCATCTGGCCTAAAACTCCTCATGACCAACCTTTAAATTAAGATTCCTGGGGCTCTATTTTGATAGTCTATTTCGCTTCATACGCCCAGACTTTTTATGAATTCGAACTCTACTTAACTGCACATAGCTGGTATTATTTTTTTGATCAGTGATGATAATTTATGGAATTGATGAAATTAAAACTTACAAAATTGATGTACGTGTCTACTATGGACAATTTTTGGTACGTGCTGGCCTTTATTTGGAACTGTATGTCTTCATTAAGGGCAATACAGATGTGCTGGTTTTTTGTGATGCCTAGTTCCCTTCAAGTATATCATGTTTGATTCATTTTCCTTTGGTTTATATGTTCTTTTTATGTGTAACAGATTGCATTAACTAAAATGCAAAAGCCTACTTTGCAAGAATAAATACTTGGCTGAAGGAATATTATGTGAATATCAGCAACCAAAATTTTAGGCTATAGTTGTTGAGAACAGGCACAAGAGCGGAAGCTTGGGATTGAGCCACAGTTGGAGCACCCTACTTTAGCACCTAGGAGTGATGTTTAAGGAGTAGCTTGATATGTTTACCATATGCATATGTGATCGCCCTTTATGTATGTGTGTATGTTGATGTCAATCTGTGTCTGACACCAGTATACCTCTCAAGCTAAAGAATCTAATTTACATTGCTTTCCAAACATCATATGAGAATCTGCAATGTGTATTCAAACACTCCCATGCTGTATCAGGGCTTCTACTTGCTGTAACATAACTTAAAATGGACTTTCACTAAAAATGTACCTTAGTGCTCATCCTTAGAATTTGGTTTAGTATTAGAAAGTTATCCCTTTTTGAAAGCCAATTATATCTTGTGATGCATGTTTAGTTCCTATATTGGGATGCCCAGGGAAGAGAGGGGTGTCTTTATGACATTAGTGAAAATTAGTTCTCAAGAGGGGGATTGTGTTCCCAAGAGTGGAAATGCATGACATACATCGATTGAAGATTCTCACAACTTTGGTAAAGACTAAGGGCTAGAATTTCTTTTGGAAAGATTATGCTTACTTCCCAAGTTTGTGTGCTTTTAATCTTATATGATACAAAATACGATCATGTGGTAAGTGTTATTTTATTTTATGTATAATATTGATATTATTAAATATGTAGGTCTATGGTGGAGTTCATAGTTGCCGGGATCTCCCAACTTGGGCGGCGATTTCGCTTCGGAATCTCGCTCCGGCTCTCTAGGAAAGGGGTCCTCAAGGGGTCTCGAGTTTAAAATTTTGGGATCTCGATCTCCACTACTAGGAATCCTGATTCCTTCTGCTAGGGATCTCGGTCCCGACCTTACCAAGATAACAAACTGATGGTTTTCTTAATTTGTAGCCAGGTAGCAACACAAGTGTACTTCTAATATAGTTGGATTGCTTGCTATAAATAAAGAGGTCCATACCTTAAAGAGTACACATAGTCCTAGACTATTCATACTCTTTAAGGTTTTGTACAAGATCTCCAAAAGGTTGGGATCAAGATCCTAAAAGGTTGGGATCATGATCCTGAAAAGTTGGGATCTTGGTCCCCAACATTAGCGATCTGGATCTCAAATGTATACATTGTACGGATGATGCTTCCAACCATAAGGATCTCCTAGCATTTCACGATCCCTCACTTCCAATCCAGTTTTCACTCTCGGTTCTACTCCTAATCCCAACAAACATGGTGGAGGCAACGTGGGAACAAAACCAAGCACTTCCAAAAGATGAACATCTACATTTTGAACTTGGCATGTTTAGTGTTCCTTTGAAATGGCGATTTTGTTGTAAGCCTCATACTTAACATTTAATTTATCATTTTTAGTATCAACGACATGCATACTCTAAGAGGTTCGTACAATAAGAGAAATAGGCTTTAGCAAAAGAAATCAAACAATCTAGTCTAGTAAGTGCATGAGGTTGAAGGAGCACTTTCAAGAATTCCATCAATTTGACCCCATTGCTATAGAAGATGTTGAGGGATTTCAGTAAGTGGTTGATTGATTTTAGGCATGGTTTCAAAAAACGCTAGGCGGCCCCTAGTGCCCAGTGCCCAGACAGGCGCCCAGAACCTTGGGCGCCCTGTTGTACAAGTTATATAGATATGTGGTTTATATACATATATTTGTGTCAATTTTAGAATTTATTCCATTTGAAGATATTGTAACATATTTTTTTATATACAAACATATGACAGAAAGCACTTTGAGAATAAACTTGTTCAAAATTTCAAAATTCAAACCATACAAAATTTAGAAGCCTAATAGCATATGTATTAGTAATAGTCTCCAACTCTCCATATTTCATAATAAGTGAAAATGTTTAAGAAGCTTCTTCAAACCACAAAAAATACTTTTGATTCTCAGAAACAGGTATAGCCAAGAGATTGAGGGATTATGGAATTTTCTTTTAACTTTGGGGGTTAAAAATAACCCCCATAACCTATTTAAACCTTTTTGATGGTCAAAATTATCCTATTTTCCCTTTTGGGTATTTTGCTTTTAAAAAAAAGCCGACATCCCTGGGCGCCCGCCTGGGTGCCTGCCTAGCCCGCTTGGGCGCCCGCCCAGGTACATCCGCATGTGTAGGGCCGCTTGGGTCCGGGAGTGTGGTATTTTGGTCCAGGCTGCCTAGGCATCGGGCGGATCGTTTTTTAAAACAATGATTCCAGAGAAGAATCACCTACAGACTTAGGGTAAGTACTATATATGTATGATGCCTGATACAACATGTTGGTTTCATACCGTCGACATTGATACTGTCACTAGATAATGCTAGGATCCTTGTAAGTATAAATAGACATAATTATAAAAAAAAAAGTGAAAAGTTTAACATTTTACCTTATGATATGTTATATACGTAGCCGACCCCAAATAGTTGAAATAAGGCTCAAATGATGATGTTATTTATATGTATATCACTATGTTGGATACATATGTTTCTACATATCACAGGCTGTAATATGTAAAATTTATGGATTTGTTAGATATGATACTTGTAAGTGTATCTATATCCTGAATTTAAGGAACTGCTGAGGCATATCAGAATTTCCCGTACATGTGCCTGTATCTTGGTATCTTAGCTAGGTCAAGTTTGTCATAGAGGAGGGAGAGTAGTAGATAAAGAGGAGGAAGCTGATTTGAAGGAGACAAAGAACACATTCATGTTAAAGAACTAGTTGATTCATTGTTAGGAGTGGGCAAGGTGACCAGAGGTGGCCTTTTTGTTTTTAATCTGAGATGCAACTTTGTTTGGGGGAGGTCATATGACCCTCAGAGCGTCCTTTTTTTTTTTGCAATTTGAGATATATGTTATATGTTGCTCTGCTCGTCACTACTTCAATACTTTTATTTGTGGTCTGTAATTGATGGACTTGTCAAATGCCATAATAGAGCCATGTGGCTAATGGTCAGGCCAGTGTGGTTTTTGAATCTCGGCGTGTGTTAATTGTTGGATATTGGATCGTTGCTTGGCCGGATAGCCCAAAGTCTCGATAGTTAGCTCTAGATCTTCCGGTCGAAAAACGTCGATGAAGACGTATAGGTGCACTATTACGTGGTGGGGATTGCTTTGTATGTAATTCAGTAATTTCAATCTCACTGATTCATACTCAAACAGGTTCACGCATCCTGTTGATACTATTTTCAACATTAAAGTAACATTATAAAAATCTGACATTTTGTAAAAAGGTTGCAAGAAGGGGGTTTTCCATGACATTTTTCAAAAAGTATGGAACGGGGTTTTCCCTAAAACCCCTCACTCACCCTGCCACTGAGGCAAGGCCCCTCTGGCCCCACAGGCGCCGCCTCCTGCTTTTGAAATCATTGGCCTATTTCTGCTAACCGTAGGTGGTATTCCTCCATTCTAGTGTGGATGCAGGCAGGCCTATATATCTTGGTTTTGTAGGCTCCTTAGTAGCGCTTTTTGTACTATTATCTATCAACCCTTACATGGCTTGTCTTGTTCTTAAAGGCTATAGTTAAGATTGTGTCATGGATAATGCGCAAACTTTTGCAACAGTTGCTAAGTTCACCAGTTTTTGAGTCCTTCTAAATGTGTAACTGCTTGGAAGCGGGATTTACACCACATGAACGTGAAGAATTTCTTGCGAAATGGAATTATATGCAACCCCTGCCTTGGTATGTTATTGATTTGGACCTCGTGTGCCATAATAAAACAACCCTTTAATGGTCTCAAAAGAGTCATAAGAGCTGGCTTTTATTTTATATATTCACAGTGCTAAAGGGGTGGGGTGCCAACTAAGATGATGCAGCAAGAATCATTGAAAGCAAGAAAATCTTGATACATGGGGAGTGGGTCAAGAAACTCTTGCAGCTATTGGATCTCTAATTTGGGACTATCAAGCTTGCTGTTATACTACTTTGATGCATATAGATTGAAGTGGGAAAATCTCAAAAGAGGGAGAGTGTAACAACCAGCAATTGAGCATCACAACTTTAGAACTCAAAAGTTACATTCCAACTTCAATAGAATTTCTTAACCCCCTCACATTGGGCATATAATAGTCTATTTATAAGCATATGAAACAACTTGAGATCTAAGTAAACAATTTAAGACTCTAAAATACCCATAGTGATCAGTAAATACCAAAAAAGCTCTAATTAATCCTAAAATTCGTCACTATTTCAGGCATGCATTTTATACTAAGATTTGAGGCCAAAAACAGTAAAATTATGAAAAAAACCTCGGATAGCTTTTGTAAATAACTGAGATCTTCGAAATGTAACTTGAAGCACCATGATAAGACCTGCGAGGGAAAAGTTATGATTCGTCATATGATCACTGCACATCTTTCTATTCCAGGATTACTCTATCCTTCTCTAGTAGTAATACTTGTGGTCTGATAGATCTGACCACATGTTTGAAGCATGGAGTTTGTAACCTAGTGGGTTCTTGAACCCTGTAAGCTTCAAGTCACCTGTGTTTGATAACCATGCATGCATGTTGCAATCACAGTTGGAATATGCATGAAGGTCCTCATGTTGCAATTGCAGTTGAGATTGCTTCATGTCAAGGTATTAATGAATCTACTATAGTAACCGATCATAGTGTTGTTTAACCTAAATAATGTATTAAGGTTTTCATTAGAATTACCTTTTTTTTTATCCTTTTTGCTCCGAATTTGAGAACATTGGGACTTCTTTGCATGAAGTTTGTAGGTGGGCTTGAAGTGTGTGCATGTGGGGTCTGTTCTTTCATTTTGAGTTCTGCTTGACTTGTAATTCCAATATAGACATGTCATAATTTATGTTATCTGCACCGGCTGATTGTTTGTGTTAGTGTGCATGGACATGTGAACACATGCACTGTGTTTGAATGCATATTACATATTAAAGGGCTGGCCAGTAAATTCTGCTTTTGCTAACATTTGGTCAATCTCTGCCACGTGTCCTGTATTACATGACCTCCTGATACATTTTCACCTTTTTTGCAGTCATACGAAGAGCACCTCATGAATTCAAGATTGCATGTTTGGAGGTAAGCAAAGACATAAATGATTCACATGAACATGACTCAAATTTTTGTTGAGACAACCCGATGTGACAATAAATCAATTCTTCCAGGTTGACTTAGCTTATATCCTTTTCTCTTGGTCACCAAATTATCCACTTTTATAAAATTGCAGTTAGTTTTCGTGTTAGCTATGAGTGTTTTTTTTCTTTCTTTGGCTCGGAAGTACGTGTTCTTTTCATGTTCTGCCAGAAAACATGCTTGGCTCACATGTGACTTGTTAAGGGTTCATCATGGTTCTAGGATATTGCTAAAACTGGTATGTGGTTTCTTTCTATAGGATGTCAGCTGTGAGACAACTCATTCATATTACAAATCTTACTAGAACTACTCGTTCTTTATTAGAAGCCTGCGATTTTGTTTTTGATGCAGCAAGTAGAGGAAAATGCTTCTTAATAGTAGGTACAATAGACAAAGCAGCTGATTCAGTAGCATCAGCTGCAATGAAGGTTCGGTGTCACTATGTCAATAAAAAATGGCTTGGTGATATATCAACAAATTGGTCTACTATAGAAGAAGACTTCATAAGTTCAGGGACTTGAGAGCAAAACAAAAGATGGGTTATTTAATCGTCCCCCGAAAAGAGATGCGGCAATGTTGAAGAGACAATTATCTCACTTGCAGAAATATCTGGGCGAGATCAAATATATGATAGGGTTTCCCGATATTGTAATCATCATTGATCCATGAGAAGAATATATAGTTATTAGAGAATGCCTCACTTTGGGTATTCCAACGATTTGTTTAATTGTGATCTGGATCTTGCAGATATTGCGATTCCAGCCAAAGATGACGCTATAGCTTCAATCCAATAGATTCTTAGCAAATTAGTATTGGCAATGTAACAGATGATCAAACGTACAAGAATATAAAAATACTAAAAAAAATGTTAAACAAATAGTAAGTAAAGCAAAACTTAAGGCATATTATAAGTTTTATAGTAAACTAAGAATAAGAAAAGGTAAAATATATGTATTCAAATTAGCAAAAATGGGAAACATCTTAACAATCTAGACTATATTAAAAGCATTATGAGTGATGATCAAAAGGTCTTGGTGAACGATGAAGAGGTCAACGAAAGGTGGAGAGTTTATTTTAAAAATTATTAAATGACAAACACAATGGGAACACAACGGTAGAAAGAACCATTGGCATAAATGAGGGAGGATGTCATAAATATATTTGTAGGATTAGGATATCAGAAGTGAAAAAAGCTTTGAAGAGTATGAAGATAGGAAAGACTTCAGGATCAGATGGTATCCTGATAGAGGTTTGGAGGTACATTGGGGAGATCGGCATTGACTGGCTGACCAAGCTGTTCAACAAATAGTTAAGAACAAATAAAATACGGACGAATGGAGAAAAAGTACTGTGATACTTATTTACAAGAACAAAAGAGACATACAGAATTGTGCAAACTATCGAATGATCAAACTTACAAGCCACACTATGAAGTTGTGGGAGAGAGTGATTGAGCAATGATTGAAGTATGAAATGAGTGTATCAGAATATCAATTTGGTTTTATGCCAGGGAAGTCAACAATTGAGCCTATTTTCCTACTGATGCAACTGATTAAGAAGATTGGACAAATGGAAAAGAACTTCACATGGTCTTTATTGATCCAGAAAAAGTTTATGATAGAGTACTTCAAAATTTAATTTGGCGGGTGTTGGAAAAGAAAAGAGTCACCAAATACTATGTCTACTTGGTGAGAGATATGTATGAAGGAGCACTAACTTTTGTGCGAACAACTAGTGGATAGACGAGTGAGTTTTCAGTGACAATGTAAACACATTAGAGGTCAGCGTTGAGACCATACCTTTTTATCTTAGTTATGGACGACTTAACTAAACACCTACAAGATGCGGTACAGTGGTACGTGTTGTTTGTGGATGACATAGTTTTGATCGATGAGACCCGAAGCAACATCGGCAAAGTTAGAACTTTGGAGGGACGATTTAGAATCTAAAGATTTTAAAACTAGCCGAACGAAGACGGATTACATGAAACACAAATTTAGTAATAATAGGTGTAAAGATGAGGAAATAATTAAGATTGACTGCCAAGAAATACCAAAACGAGCACACTTTTGATATCTTGGATCAATAATCCAGAAAAATAAAGAGATTGACGAAGATGTCGCACATAAAATAAGAGTTGGGTGGGTGAGTGGAGAAATGGAGAGATTGAGGAAGATGTCGCACATAAAATAAGAGTTGGGTGGGTGAAGTGGAAATGTGCGACTGGAGTTTTATTTGATCGTCACATACCAATGAAGCTGAAAAATAAGTTCTATATATGACATCGATGAAACAAGCTTTGTTTTATGGGGCAAAATGTTGGGCGGTGAAAAATCAAGATTCCCATAGGATGAATGTAGCTAAGATGAGGACGTTGAGATAGATGAGTGGCAAGACAAAAAAGGATAAAATTTGAAATTAATACATTGTAGAGAGCTTAGGTGTGGCTCCAATAGGCAATAGGATGAGAGAAAGGAGAATTAGGTGGGCTGGCCATGTGCAGTGTAGACCTAGTACAACAACTGTTAAGAGGTACAAGTTCGTTCAAGTCAAAGAGTAAAAAACGCCTAGGGGTTGGCCTCAAAGGACATGGTTAGAAGTAGCAAGAAAAGATATGGCCTCACTGAGGGTATGGCCCATAAGAGAGCAGAATGACGAACCGGGATATGTGTAGCCGACCCTAAATAGTTGAAAAAAGGCTATGATGATGATGATGACTATCGGAAAAAAGGAAGTCAATGATTAAAAATAAGTCAATTATGATAAGATAAGTCAATTATTTCGGTAAATGAGGAATTTATTGAATCGGTTACTATTCCTAAATCTGGAAAAAGAGATTCAAATCGATAGTCATGATATCTAATTACTTATTACTCGGTATCTGAAATGTACTTTACGATTAAAGTAAAGTCAAAGCAAAGTCAACGCGAAAGTAAGATCGTCTAGAAAGAGATGATTGAATCAAAATATTCCTTGTTAACTTAGTTTCATTTCTATCTGTGATAATATGAATGTTTCATCAACAAACTAAAAGGGATATATGATCTATCTGGTGTGGAAGTAGGCTAACGTTTCTATTGGCAAATTAGAGGTTTTCATGTCCATGCCCAAGTAATTATCACTTCTTTGCTACTTATTAGGCTCAACCCATATTGCGGGAACATTGGGGGTAAGGCCATGGTCCCACCTTGGGAACTCGATCCCACTGTTCCTCTAAGGGATGTTAGAGGGAGCTGGTTTAGAGAAATATAGATCTTACTCTCTACAAAATGGGATCTTGAGATACAAGTTTGTAGGATTCCTTCAGGGAGAGGAGCTATATTATTAATTGAACTATTGCTCCTCTCCTTGGTATTAGAGCGTTATTTCTTTAGAGTTGTGGTGCTTATCACATCGTGGTATACTTGTATTATGGCATTAAAGATATACAGTTTAATATTATAATGAGCTAATTTATGATATTATTAATTGTATTAATGTAGTAAATTAGAGTGCTATAACAAATGCACTAGTAATGAACTAAGGTGTATCATAATGGATCAAGAAGGCATTAGCTGGATCCTAATTTTATCATAATCTATTAACTGAAATCGTTTATGTATAGTGAAGCTTAGACCCTCCAAGTCAAAACCTCGATCCTAATGACATGGGATCTCACTCCCAAGTATCCTAGGATGGAGCTCCTTAACTTGTTGAATGTATGGACATAAATCTTAAAATCCCATGGAGCTTCCACCCTATATAGCCGGTTCGGTGTTACCCAAACCCATCCCGCTCTGGAACTTGCTTCCGCCTCCAACAACTGTGGTTCAACCACTATAGTTGTTTGGAAACCACAAATTATTCCAACTGACCGTCATTTGAAATTTTGAATATGTAAGTCATTCGAGACTTGACTAAAACTCAGATTGGAGAAGAAGAATATGGTCCCTGGGATTCCTTATTGGAACTAAATTCCTATCTATTTTTGTTTCTAATTGGTTAGGTGCTCTTTTACCTCCGAAAATCATAGAGTTATCGCATGGGGAGTTGGCTGCACCTACAAATGATATAAATATTATTGTTGTTTTAGCTTTATAGTGCAGGTACAAGTAAGAAAGGATTGGCTTATTTTGGTAAATATATTCAACCAACTCCAATACTTTTGCCGATTAATATCTTAGACGATTTCACAAAATATTTGGGAATATATTGGATGATGAATTAGTAGTTATTCTTGTTTCTTTAGTCCTTCATTGATTCCTATATTTGTGATTTTCCTTGGATTATTCACAAGCTAGATTCTAGCTTCGATTTTGCAACTTTAGCTGCGGCTCTAGATTTTTTTGCTATTCATCTATCGCACAATTGGATCACTCATTCCTTGTCTGCTCTTTCCCTCTGCTTTCATTCTTTGTTGCACCATAGCCAGGCAGCAGTAATAGTAAGGAATAGAAAATTTTTGTATTGTAAATAAAAGTTATTACTATTGGAATAATGCTATTGATTGGAATTTGATACATTCCCGTCAATAACATTGGTAGATTAGGTGAAGATATGGAAAAAGAGGGATTTAAACCCTTGTAAACATAAGCTTATGTAGCAGTTTCAATGCTATGCCTTGAACCACTCGGCCATCTTTCTAATGAAATCTTATGATCATGGCCCAGGAACCAAGTGAAATGTGAGTCACTCATGCTATTGCAGTAGAAGTCCGACTAATATATTATTGTTCTTTTGAAACTGTTGATTGTGGTTTAAGAGTAGAAGAGATTACATGATACAAAAATGCACACTCCTTGACTATAAGCCAAATACGATTTTGTGCAAAACCAAAAAAGAACTATATTTTCAAATCCAATAAGTTGGTTGAGATCAAATAAATATAATAGAAAATCCTAGTAGCAGCAATTATGGTGATGCTAAAGAAGCTCCTTGTTTAGTTAGAGTGTCGGCCACTTGGTTGG